CACTTCATTTTACATAATTTTCTTGTTTTCGACTTCTGTCGCCTCATTCAAGTTAGCTGCTTTAATATAAAATGTTGCATTTAATAAATTTATCTCATATTACATAATTATATTTAAGTTAATTATAGTTCAATTTATTCATTTTAATTATGAGTTTAAATCCTTAAATTAATGCTAATATTAAATATCAATAATTTAAACAAATTACTTTTGAAAGTTAAACTCTAATATGAAGTATGAATGCATTTCTCTTTTCCTTGAATTATCCTTTTCTTATTCTTAAATTAACATTCGTTGCACCCTTAAATCAACACACCTAATAAAGTAATATTTAATAATCAACTGTAATTTAACTATCTGAGAATTTTATGATTAAAAGACCAACCTATTTTTCGATTAAAATTTTTTGCCTTTTTCCTCAAATTTCAATGATTTATCAGCCTTCTTTCACACTTCTTAATTTGATAGAATTTAATATTATTAATTTATAGAATTATATCATTTATTCTAATAATAAACTTAATATTAACATTTGCCTTATAAGTTTCTTGGATCGAAATCCTCCCTCACTCACATGCTTTTCTTATGTGAAATCAATAATTTTGTACCTCAAAACTTACTTTTGTTGGTTGAAGATTTTTGAAATTAATTAATAAATATTATCTTTAATACCTATATCATTATATTAAACTAATAATGCTTGAATAACATTTTCCATATCTCACATTCTTCAGGCTCGACTTGGTTCATTTCTTCACCATACACCATACACAAGGTTCACGAGCTACACTGCCTCATGCATAAAGGTCCCTTTTGTCTTCCTCGTCCCTGCCTCCTTCCTCTATCTAAATCCTTTTTCTTTGCTGCGATTGGTTCTCCTTAATGCATACCACTCGACTACGGTTCACATTTTAATCCTTATCTCCCACTTGAACTTGCACTAGAGGTGTTTGACACTTCCCCCTGTTTCTTCTCCTCCTTTTGCTTTTGCTAAGGCATGGGTTTCCCTCTCCTACCTGAAGCTGCTCGATTCATCTCTTCCCCGCACGCAAAAAATGATGCAAGTTAGCCATTGGCTTTGGTTTCAACTTCATTTGCTCCTTCTCACAGAACAACGTCGCATCTATGCACGAGCCGCTCCTTCTACTAGGGATGTTATTTTCCCACTCGGAACACGTCAATGCCTGACGATCATCTTCTTACTCAAGTTCGTTCCACATAGGGAAGTCTTCCTCTTCCTCTTCTTCAGTCGCTGCCTGTTCTTCTCCTTTTTGCCCATGCTTCTTATTCTCATTCTCTTGCTCTATGTTTCTCTCATTTGATTCGAAAGAGACATTTGACTCTTAAGAAGAGAGCACTGTCGGAGACGGATGCTTCCCTTTGAAATGACCCAAGCAAAATTTTTTATTTATTTATTTTTAATAACAGTTATTATAATTTTCCTCCTCGTGAACTGTTTCTTGGTGGCTCGAATATCCCACAAAGTCAATATTTTTAACACACACAACTGTAGAAGACCTTTCTAAGAATTGAGCGAATCTGACAACGTGTGCATGTGAAATTGCAAGTATCAAATTGTTTGCATAGATAAAAAATTGACAACCAAATTTTCACTATCAAAACGAGTCATTTTTTTCTCCTTACCTGTGTTTTTCATTGTCAAATTACATGTGCTGAAGGCTATTCGAACTCAGGCTAGTTTATTTTGACTGTTAGTTTCGTTAGGAGGTCTTTTTGTGGTTGTTTACCTTGATGAGATTGCAAATGTCAAATTACTTGTGCTGAACGCTTGTTTTTGGGATGCATGTGCAGTAGGTGAACAATTTTGGAGATTGGTTTTGTGTGGTTTGAATGATGAATGGAAGGCTAGTGGGAAGGTTAGATCCTTGATTTGGAATCAAGAATTGTTATGTCATAGCTTGAACTCTTATCAATCAAGATATTGTCCACCATTAGTTTAAATTCCAAGGATGTCATCCATTCTGAGAGTGCTTCTGCAAGAGCACACTTAACTTTGAAATTTCTGATGAAATTTCAACAGTTACACCAGAATGTGTTTCGATATTTAAGACTTCAATTGATTTTATTTGAGAGGCTTTACAATCGCTGCTACCGAAGTAGATGATATCATCGTCAGTACTCCTAACCCAAAATCATCCACGAGACATATAGAATTCTAGATGTGGCTCTTACAAATTCATGTGTTGGCTCCCACTATATAACATTTTGTTCCAACTAGAATTTTAGAGATTGCTCCCATCACATAGCATTTTGTTCTGTATGACCCTTTGTTCCCATCTTTAGGTCGGTGTAATGCTATGATAAGACACATCAATTATGTACCTTGCTCTTCTTCTAATTTGATATTGAGGATTGAGTGATGCTCTAATATCAATTTTATGGTTGAGGATTGCAACTAATTGAATTATGGAATTTCGAGTGGAAGAATAAGAGGAAGTTGTTGGAAAAATATATCACTTAGTGATTCATTTATAAAATTTATATCTTAAGAGGTGGACGGGCACTCATAATTGGCCTCATCAATAATTTTCTACCATTGCTTAGTTTTAAAAAGATGTACAACCAACCTCT